CAGTTTCATTGTCCTTCAGTCAGAGGGCCTGGACAGAGACGCTTTAAACCCAGATGCGGTCAGTAATGATTTCTGTATTAGTTTTCCATTTTGCTTAATTCTTCAGCAGCTGTTAAAAGACATCCTAATGACTTGGCAACTATCAATTAATTATACTTTACCTAATTAGGCACCCTAAAGATCAGTCTTAAATGGTGACATTTTTGCTCTCCAGGAACTTAGGTTCTGTGAGGACAGCATAACAATGGCCAATAAATAATAAATGCAAATACTGAACAAAAATTATTTTCTTTCTTCTCCCCCCCCCTCCTCTCAGCATACACACATATTGTATTATTTTTATTTTATGATGTTTTGACATCTTAAAAGTCTTCTGGTTGGGGCCAGAATCCTCCTCCCTGGGCTAGCCAATTTTTTTTTTTTAATAAATAGGCTCCGCCCAGCATGGAGCCCAACACAGGGCCTGAACTCATGACCCTGAGATCAAGACCCAAGCTGAGATCAAGAGCTGAGTGCTTAACCAACAGAGTCATCCAGGTTCCCCTGAGCTAGTTAATTCTTAGAGCTAGCCAAGGTCCCAGCCAGAGGCTGCCCTTGCCATGCAAACTAGCCATCCAGAGCCTTCTCCATCTGGCCCCTGGCACCCCAGGAGGCAATACTCCTCTGCCTTAATCATCTCAGGTCGGGGACTAGGGACCACTCTGTAGTTTAAAGCCTACTGAAAATTATCCAAACTAGCCAATCCTAAACTGCAGAAACCCCAATAGAGGTTCTAGCTTTGGCTTTCCCCTAGCTCCTGCTTTCTGTCTCCTGCCCATCCTGAGGCTTCCCCATCTGGCCTCCTGTTACTGTAGGACCTATGAGTATATTTGTTTCCTGAGCCCCTCCAGTGTCTCCCCTCTAGCTGCACCTGTCTCATAAAAGAACACGGAATACACACATGCACACACACATGTGCACGCCCACACACACGCACACACTTAGAAACACTCATATGTGGTTTCGGAGACTTAATTAAGCCATCACTTTATACTGTACCCACAACTTGCAGTGTTTCCCCCTCACTTTATTTGCCCTTCAGAATATACATATTCTTCAAGCCCAGTTAAAATTCCACTTTTTACATGGAGTTTTCCCAGATCTCTTCATTCAGATTAATTATTCTTCCCACTGAACTCACCAGTCTGTTACTATTTGAAATTTATTTTGCTCTTCCTCATTTATTACAGTTAGGTCAACTTCTCCCACTATAAACTTGTTGAGGTCAAAATAATGTTCTGTTCATCATTACACCCCCCCCCAGATTGGTTGTTACAATGTTGACATGAAGTACAGATGTTTCATTGGTATATAGACTTGCTTTTCTATATAATCAAATACATGTTAAATACATAATGTTAATTGCTCCAACTGTGTGATAAACAACAGAAGAAATTATCCCTTCTGTCATTAACAGCCAGAGGATGTAACCTTCTAGGAGCACTTGTGTGATCCTGTTACTTCTTTGGTCTAAATTCTTCTTGGTTTCTCATTGCCTAGCATATGAACTTTCGGACTCTTCAAGGATCATATAACGTAGCCCCAGTTTATTCTCTTAACGTCTCTACCTTCTCCCCACACTTCCCTCTACAAATATTTGAAACTCCTACCAAATGGAGTAACAGTGGAAGCAACACTTCATGGACTTCTTCCCTTGCTGTCCCCTCTCCTTCTTTACCTGTCAACGTATGATCAGTCTTTCAGGGCCCATTTCAAATGTTCTTTGTCCATCCTGTAATTTCTGATCTACAGAACCAGATGTATATGCTTCCCTGTGAACTTCCACTGCATTGTGCAAACCTGCTTTATATTTGCCTGTGTTTGTGTTACCTCTTCTCCCACACACAGACATTTCAGAAGATGTGGAGATCATGAGTAAAATGGCTCTGAGGTACGGGAAAGGGGGAACACAGACAGAAGCAAAAGAGAAGAAGACAAGATTTCCCTGGGAATTCTTGAGAGGAAGTGGCTGTCCCATCACTGGGAGTATTCAGGAAGAGACTACATGAGGACATACTGGGGTATTAGGAAAAAAATCTCACTTCTCTGGGTAGGGACTAAACTCAGTGACTTCTGAGATTTTCCCAACTTTAAAATGCTTCAGTTTATGAAAATCCCAAAAAGTAAGAGGAGGAAAACTTTTCAGCTAGGGGTGACATATGGTGACACATGATGTTGGTAAAGTGAAGCCTGGTAACATCAGATGCAACTGTTCACATGAAGTTAATAAAATAATCTGAAAACCTTATTTTGGCCAATATTTTATGTTTTTTTCCCCTAAGAAACAACTTTCTGTGAATCTGCTATAAAGTAGCATGATGTTAATTTGAACTTCACCTCTTTTTACCTCCTCCCTAGTAGACTCATGGTTGAGATGCAAATAAACAATAAGACCACCAACTCTCAGTAAGAGAAAGAACCAGGGCCAGAAAGGGTCTTTGGCCACACAGTTGAGTTCTGAGTATGCAGAAATGGACTATTTTGTGTTTTGTGGCTTAAGGCAAGAATTAATAGTTCTCTTTTAATATACTGTGATTTATTTATAAAATTAAAGAAATTACTAAGTGTCTTTTGTTGCTTAGTGAGAAAATTCAAAAAATTAGAAAAGGGAAATAAAAAATGTCCATAATCCTGTAACCCAAAGATGTCTACTTTTAATACTTTCAGTGTATTTTCTTCCAGACTTTTCTCTTGGCATGAGTACATATGTTTGTGTGTTTGTGTGTGAGAAAATGAGATCATGTGACATAATTTCTAAGGCTTTAAAGAAATGCCTCGGGATCTCTATGGAGAATCCATTATACACTTTTTCCAACTCCTGTGTTTTTTTCCAAGTATCTTAAAGTTATTTGGGTCAGGAGAAGCATAGAAAATTAAACAGCTGCGGGCACCTGGGTGGCTCAGTCGTTACACGTCTGCCTTTGGCTCAGGTCATGATCCCAGGGTCTTGAGATCGAGCCCCGCATCGGGCTCCCTGCTCCGCGGGAAGCCTGCTTCTCCCTCTCCCACCCCCCTGCTTGTGTTCCCTCTCTCACTCTCTCTCTCTGTCAAAAAATAAATAAAATCTTTAAAAAAAATTTTTTTTAAAGAAAATTAAACAGCTGGAAAATGAGCTACAAACTATTGAGGTAGATGGTATTTAATTCTGAGCAATTTGATGGAGAGCAATTTTTACATGAAAGCAAGGTTTCAGTGATAGATAGTGACACAGAAAACAGCTTCTAGCAATTTCACTTAGAAAGCCTATCTAGGGCTTATGCATAGCAAGAGACAGAGCAGCCTCTCAGCCCAGGTGGATATGTGTATAGCGAAGATGGGGAGGAATCTGTTTTTCTTTGTTTGAAATTCAAGATCTCTGAACATAGAGAGTGAAAAAGTAGGGGTGTGCCTGGGTGGCTCAGTCGGTTGGGCATCCAACTCCTGATTTCTGCTCAGGTCGTGATCTCAGGGTTGGGATCTCAGGGTCGTGAGATCCAGCCCCGCATCAGGCTCCGCGCTCAGCACGGAGTCTGCTTGTCCCTCTTCCTCTGCTCCTCTCCCCGACTTGTCCCTCTCCCTTTGCTTCTCCCCGCCCCCCGACACTTGCACTCTCTCTCTCTCTCTCATAAATGAATAAATAAAATCTTTAAAAAGAAAAAGTACAGACAGGGTCATTCAGTGAATGTAATCTGAGCATCCACTTTCTTTTACACAGCAAGCAGAAATTCATGCTAAAATTTTGTAAGTGACTCTATCTTAGACTGTCTTCTCGTCTTGTGTTGGTTATGGCCTTGGAAAGCCAGGCCAGTTGGTCCATGCCTCCATACCATTAACCACCAGCATTCACCTAAGAATTAGAAATAGCATTTTATGACTCATAAAGGGATTTCACATCCCACTTAATCTAGTGCCAGATATCCAAATTACTGATAGAATTCTCGGTCGAAAATGATTAGTCTTTTGTACAATTAACTTTACAAACCCAACTGAACATGGTGGTGATTGACCCCATACTCCTATATCCTCGAATTAGAAAATACAACCCCATAACTGTAAAACACATTGGAAGCCTTGGGTTCCTGGGGGATGAAATTGTGTTTATAGCTCATTCCATGTCAGGGACAGTGTGAAATATTTTCCTACCTGAGGCCTTGACAGTTGAAACTAGCAATACTATAGAGAGTATAGAATAGAAGTAGTGGTTTTATATTCAGTTGTATTTGGTGTTTTAACAAGATAGATACTGCCATCATCGCTGTGTTCTTTGTGTTATGAATCCTACTGTGTTAGCAATTGTATGGTTGGTTAGATTAATGTATGATAATGATTCAGTATTTGAAATGATGAGTCTTGTCTCTCATCTCTTTCTCTGTGAGGTTCTAACTTGTAGTGAGTGCCTCAGAACACTCAGATTTGAATTATCCTGTTTATGTTAAAAGTCATTTATTACATAAAGATGATGTTAATAATTTTTAAGTCAATGGTTTGAGTCAGCTTTACTTTTTGGTTTGTGGACCGAGAAGGGTCAGTTGCTTTGGTGATGCAACTCTCCAATTTTAAGTCAGCTGCTAATGGGTGAATAGAACCATACTGTAATCCAGACATGGCATTTAAAGAATTGTTTCTATCACTATTTATCACTGAAAAGCATTAGACTCCATATTTTTAAAACAATTGCTTCTTAAGCATATCTGTAGTCTTTCAAATATCCAAGTATCTCAGAGCCTCTGGGTCTTACAGGCTGATGCTGTTGGTAATATTTTAGGGCACCAAAATTGTGCAACTAAGAAAAATTAAATTGGAATTTGATTTATACTCAAATATGGCCCATATCAGAGGAGATTAAGTAATTTTCCTTTTTTCCTGAAAGTCTATCAAAAAATAGCTACCAATTAGATAAAATAAAGAGCGAGAAGTTACATTCTTTTAAAAAGATTAAAGCTTCTTTTACACTAAAAATGAGGTTCTTTTTTCCATTTCAGTGTAAAACCTGTTCTGAGCCAAAACAGATAACCAGTTCGTCTGCCATCTATGACAACCCCAATCTCATCAAACCAATTCCAGTGAAGCCCAGTGAAAACCAGCAACAGCGCATACCTCGGCCCAGCCAGGTATGAAGTCTTCTGCTTTCCATTTGCAATGTCTCTATAGGATTGTTAAAGAACTCTTACCCAGAGTATAGTCAAGGGAGAGCCTGGTGCTGTTCAAGGATGCTTCAGGTTCAATCCAAGAAAGAAAGTTTTCAACTTCAAGATTGTTTTCATTTTAATAATGTATTCTTCCTAGAAGGGGGTTGAAATTTTTAATTTTGGCATTTACCGTATTCTGTGTTCATCTCTTGTGGACTTGAACTTCTTAGAGGATAATGTATTTTTTAAAAACAGCAAACTCATAACATTGTCAGAGCTGACAGGAATATTACCTGCCAGGCCTGCATTCTTCTGCGGTAGGTGGCTGGTTTCCCAAGGCCTGGGAGAAGGACAGCCAAGGCAACAGTCAATTGAACATTTCTGAGCACTTCCTCCGTCCCAGGTACAGTGCTAGGCACGGTGTGTATAGAACGGGATTCCTGTTCTAAGGAGTGGTATAAAATTGCCCCGTAGACCTGCTGGGTTATCATTGTATTTGCATCTAAATATATGAAAATGATAGCATTTTTTGGTATGAGTATATGTATTTTCCAGAATAGTGCAGCATTAACAAAATTGTTCGTCTGCAAGGCCCATTATTGACTGTCAATGTAGTATAGCTATTTCCACTTCCTATGGTTATTCCTCATTAAGGGTTTGGGTTTTTTTAAAGGAATTCATTTAAATCAATTTTGGAAATGAACATAGAGCCAAAAGACATAAAGACTAGCTAATGAAAGTCTTGTATTGAATTTTTGAAAAAAATAAGTCTTCTAATTATCTTTTAGCTTGCTTTTATTCTTTGCCTTCCATGGAAATTTTTTATTTTAATAAAGAAACTGGAATATGTTGGTGTTAGAAGGAAGCTCATGTTTTCTTAGCCCAACAACATGGAAAGCCCCAGAAGGAGCAGGAGGGGCTATAGGGCAGGAAGGAGGTAGCTTTGTGACTGACTAGGCCAGGGCAGGTTGTATGTATGCATATGATGATTTTTTAAAAGCTGCTGGTATATAGTTGAAAGGATCAAGTTAGTTTAAATGACTTATCCTAAATTTCTCTAATTCTACGAAAATCTACTGACACCCTCATGTTCCTGTGTGTTCTCAACATCTTCTTACACTCTGCCGGGGCAGGCGGACTTCCTGTTGAAGAGATCATTCCCTTTCAGTATCTAGAACTTTGCACCACAGTGTTCCCCAGTCTGTGAACCCCAGGCCCATCAAGGGCTATTTCATCAATCTGCAGATGCTAAAATGTAACTGCTGTCTTGGGGGTGGAAGTGAAGAATGCTGTGAAAATTTTTTACCTGGAAATGGTCTTAAATTTGTAAAATTGATTAGAATTATAGGTTTTTCATCCTCTATAATTGATCCTATGTAAATAAAGAAATCATCAGTTAGGTTAGTAATGTTTCATAGCCCTCCATATAACCAAATTATATGCATACCCATTTTCAGACATTTTTATTTTTTTCCAGACCTTAGACCCCGAACCCCAACACTTGTCCTTGACAGCTCTCTTTGGGAAGCAGGACAAATCTACATGTCAGGAAGCTGTGGGGTCCCCACAGACCATCCACCAGCAACAGCACCAGGAGCCACTTCCAATTAGGCAGGGGGTCGTACGCTCCCTCTCCTATGAGGAAACCAGAAGACACTCGCCCCCCATCGAGAAGCAGCTCTGTCCAGCCATTCAGAAACTCATGGTCCGGAGCGCAGACCTCCACCCCTTGTCAGAGCTGCCTGAAAACCGGCCCTGCAGAAACGGCAGTACCCATTCTGCTGGGGAAGTTTTGCTGGGACCTGTGCAGCCAGGGTCTCCCCAGAGCTTTGGGACTTCTCAGCGTGTACAGAGTGCTTCCAGAACTCAGAGCCTGCTGGAGAAGCTTCAGAGTGCCCCGAGGCCAGCAAATAAGTATGACCCTAGCACACCAGCACCTGCCAGCTTAGCGGCCCCAACCCTCAGCACCGCTCTCCCCACTGCCACCCCTGGCGCCCCAGTAAAGGGGCTGGCTCAGGCACAAGCGGGGTATTTCAATGGCTCCCTTCCAGCTCAGCCACTAGGACATCAGGCTCACGGCGAAGAGCAGTCCACACACCCGAGACCCACGCTCCCCCTCTCTGGCAGTCAGACTAGTAGTTCTGGAGTGATCTCCCCTCAGGAGTTACTGAGGAAGCTGCAGATTGTACAGCAGGAACAGCAGCTGCACGCGTCTAACCGACCAGCCTTGGCAGCCAAGTTCCCTGCAGTAACTCCGAGCTCCGGGACGGGGAAAGCGCTGGAGTCCTGGATGCACAAGACAGCCAGCGCAGAAAAGCAGACTCCTCTTTTTCAGGTAGATATCTTTGGGGGCGGGGTGGGGGTGGGGGGAGTCGTATTGCTCTAGTACTTTGTGAGTACTTGGTGAGACTTAGAATCAGCTTTGGTGCTCTAGGGACACTTCTGTGTAGAACGGGGCGCCACAAGCCACATCTGTGCGTCTTATTATCCCCATAACTTTCCGCCCGGAGAGACAAGCCTTTCTTTGCTTAGCCATCTGGGGGCTTCCCTCCTTTTAGAGGTACTTTATTTGTCGAGTTAAATCTTCATGGTGTTATAAGATCTAAGACAAGCACGTGGACGCGGGAAACAACAGAGACATGAGGAAAACCCCCGAATCTTTGACCAAGAACACTTCTGTCCGCGTTGAAATCATTTGAGATACCAGACATCTGACCTCTTCTTATTATTTTAAAATCATTACTGTTTATTTATTCAGTACATATTTCTGAGCACTTACTACATGCCAGGCATTGTGCTACTTGAGGTTACATACCTCATTGTTCATGAAGAGGCTCACATACTCACCACCTCTGCAGGGCCCATGGTCCCAGGGGTGCTTGAAGTCAACAGGAAAAACACATCAACTCCTCAAAGGTACAGGCTGTTTTTATTTCTATCACCACTGTAGCTTAGTGAAGATCGAGAGAGGGGTAAGTAAGTATGCCATCTGACTCCCCGCCCCCACCCCCCACCACACACACACACACAGAGTACCAGTCAGGGGAAAATACTGTGACTTTTAGAAACACTCTGTCCCTCAAGGAAGGGGACTCTCTATGTATCAGTAACTTGGAACAGCGATGAAACCACAGCTATTTCATGGCCTGTGAGGAACATCTGGACATCTGACTGATTTTTTTTTTTCCCATTTGGATTGGTACAAATTCATTGAAAAGGCATTGGATTAAATAATTAGGACATTCTCCCTGTTTATTACAGATGTCATCATTGGTCCTTTTGTCATGTTTTGGCAAGTAGCTTACAACAGGTCCTCAACAAGCCTTCACTTTTTTGAAAACAAAGATGTTGGGCATGTAGCATAAGTCTTTGTGTATGTGAGAACCTGAGTCCAAGTGTTCTTGTTCATTATTTATTACAGTCACAGAGGAACGGTTGTTAACCACCCGCATCCCCATTTCAGTGCGTGTTGTCCCCTCTCTTTCATACCTGCTTTTTTTCTGTTGGCAGGATGGGACACTAGGGAAACTAGGACACTAGATGGGACACTGGGAAAACCGGGGTTAGTAGTTTGACATCGGCTTCTGCGGACACAATTCTCATTTCTCTTGAGCACCCACAGGTGTGGACCATGCGCTCTTCCCCACGGCGGGTGCTGGGACCCCCACTAGGGTGGCATCCGTTCTAGCTCCTCGGCTCCAAACGGCAGATAGGGACAGTTAAAGGAAACAAGCAACCTACCTTCCTCCAAGCTTCCTTCTGCTCAGAAAGATACTGAGGGAGTGAAATCACAGCAGCTTCTAGACCATGGGCCTTATGTCCTCCTTCTCGTGACTCCTTTTGGGGCATTAGAAGGCTAATAAGTAACATTCTTTTTTCTCGCCTGCATTAGAAACAAATGAGAGCTAGCCGTTGGAGTCAGTCAGACGAAGATCAGAATGTCACTTGCATAACTGGAAAGGCTATTGGAAAACTTGGTTTTAGGTCTGTAGCCACGCGAGGTAGACATACTCGTGAGGACAGACAAGTCACTGGCAGTGCTGAGCACAACCAGCCTCCCTGCACCCAAAACTTGAGCTGGAGATGCCAGGAGTGTATGCTGTCTGCAAGCGGGCAGATCCTCTCAGGAAGGGGGACCCAAGAGGGGTGACCCCGATAAGCTTGCCTCCATCCCAGTGAGAAGTCAGTGAGCAGGCGGAGAGAGGCTGGGAAGCTTCCTCCATGTGGAGGAAATGTGCGTGTACCCCCAGCAGGTGCAAGTGGAGAAGCGAACAGGAATCAGGCTCCCACAGGCTTTGCCCACCGAGAGAACGGGCAACAATTCCTATTGAGCCTCACTTCTCTCCACACTTGCAAGCAACGGGCATCTCTCTCCCTCTCCCTCGGTGTTCAGGGAGCCGCTACTTACCACTGCCCTCTGTGTGTATTTGCCATGAGCAGGTCACCTCGCCTCCGCGTGTCCCTGCCACCCGGGCTCCTTCTCTGCTCATGTCCCCCATGGTGTTCACCCAACCCACCTGTGCCCCACCAAAGGAGATGGATGCTGGGCTCTTGCCCCTGGGAAGCCAAGAACCAGCTGCCACTTCCGCCAGCCTCCTCCTGCCTCTGCAGACCCTGGAGCCCCCCGTGACCACCAGCAGCCCACTTACCAAGCTACAACTTCAGGAAGCACTGCTGTACCTCATTCAGGTAGGAGGGCCGCGTCGTCTCCCTTCTTGCCCTTATCAGCTCGGCCAACCTGTGGGCTGTAGGACAGGAAGTGTCAGTTAGCTAACACCTGCTTAGTACTCCCCGAGAATAAGGAAACCCCGTAACAGTTCGACCTAAACAGTTCGACCATGGTTTCTGTGCTCGGTTAACTGGAGGAGATTCGGAAGACTAGCTGTGGCTTTGGGCGTGTCACGACATGAAGGATTTTGTAACATGGAGGACTGCCTGGGTCCTCCAGGCTGTCACCTGCCAGAAAAGAAAGAAGCATGCACTGTATCCTTAGCAGCCCCTGGGAGGAGTCCGGGTGCCATGCAGCACCCAGACAGCTCACCGCTGGGCAATAGAGGTCAGAGCCACATTGAGCAAGCGGCGGCGTTTTGGGGACAGCTCTGGCGGACTGCTGAAGGAGGAGGGAATAGGTAGGGAAGGAGTCATGGCTGTGACGGCGAAGGGCATATTTTACAAATAATTCTGAAACCTGCTAATTAGGACAGGATGGACTGACGGGACTTCTCTGTCAGCCATGTGTCTCACTCGGCTCTGGGAGGTGATCACAACATAACAGCTGACACTTGCAGAGACCTTTGAGCCAGGCGCTGTTTTAAATGCTTTACCTACATTAATTCATTTTATCCTTCTACAACAACCCTATTTTTTTTTTCTGTTTTAGAGACAGAGAAACTGAGGCTAAGTGACGCGCCTGAGGTCCCAGCTAGTAAATAGCAGAGCTAGGCTTCAACCCCAGTCTGGCTGCAGAATGCTCCTTCCCCTGCACCGGACTGGGGGCCACAGTGGTGACGGGAGTGGGAGGGCCGGGCCCCGGGAGGCTGGTTGGCCGTCCACCTAGCGAAGCACACCTGGAAGACAGATGCGAGGCCTTGAAAAGTGGGGCACTTCCAACCAGACAGACTTCAGGCACCTCAGTGAACAGAGCTAGGTGTCTTTTTGATACAATCTTTAGGAAAATTTTTGTAGTACTTTGCTTAAGCTTTAGCAGACTTTCAGAGTGCTGGCTAGCACTTTGCAGTTGTCTCATCCTGGTTGAAAAGACAGTGGTCTCTATTATTAAAAACACTTTTTAAAGGTCACGTATTTTAGAGAGAAGGGAAGGAGAGGGGGCTGGAAACGAGCATCTGAGTGTGAAAGCAGATTAGCAGTCGAGTAAAGATCAACCACAAATGGGTGGGCCATACAAATTCATGAACAAATATTAGGATAAAAGTATTTCCCACCTTGTCAACCCATTCGTGATAAGTTTGTGAGGACTTAGGACATCTTAAGCTTCATTTTTTTATGAGCAATAAAGAAAAAATCCTCTGGTTCATTCCATTTAAAAAACATGGTTCCATAGGTCTTTGTATAGGAACCAAGACTCTGAAAGTCTAGAGGAGGCCCTGTCTATTGCTAGGTAGAAAATTACATACATTTATGTTCCCTCCACTCTCTGCATACACTTTACTTTTCCCAATGTTGTAGACATCATCTTCCTGGTGAACTCTTGGAAGTCACTCATGCAATCTGTTTTTAGCCTTCGCCTGTTGGTAGGACACAATCTCACGCACAGGGACTTTGTGGGATAAGGAAAAACTGGGATAACATCGCTGTCTTTCATTGCATGAGAATAATGCTAGCTCTGTGCGTGGGGTGCCAAGAGGGAATGAAGGGGGAATGTGAAATGTGGGTGAATTGCTAAAGCTTTAAAGGATTTGAGTGGGAGGGAGAAGTCTCTAGAATTAAAAACCAAGAGCACCACTGTTTAGACCCGTGATTCTCCCTCAGCCCTTAGCCAGGCAGAGGAGCCCAGAGACTACCAGTCTCACGGCTGCCCACTTGCCAAGACCAAAAACTTTCTGTAACTAATGGGAGAATTATGCTGGTTTTTGATGATATAAATGCAGCATATTGCAAATAAATCTTAACTCATGCCAAAAGCAGAGTATACACATTGTGGGAGACTTCAGCGGACCCTTAAGAAGCACCAGCAATCTCCTAACCAAACTTCGAGAACCCCTGACCTGGATCATTGCCTCCCAATCCAGCCTTCTGTTAGGACCTGTGTCTTTTCACACAACAGACCCAGGCTTTTCTTGAGTGAACCTCATTCCATTCTGCCATGTGGTTGGGCCACCCATCTGGACTGTATGTAATGAGCACTTGCTGCTTCTATTGACTGTTGGAAACCAGCGGCTGACTCTGGCACTTGCCTCCAGTCCCACTTAACATTCACACATGCAGGGCGCCTGGGTGGCTCAGATGGTTAAGCGTCTGCCTTCAGCTCATGGTCCTGGGATGGAGCGCCGCGGCAGACTCCCGGCTCAGCGGGGAGTCTACTTCTCCCTCTGCCGCTGTCCTCCACTCATTCTTTCTCTCTCTCAAATGAATAAATAAAATCTTAAAAAAAAAAAAAAATTCACATATGCAGTGAAGAACTACCAGCCATTGGAGCAGACAGGTAGAGATGAGTGTCCAGGGTCAGCACGCCCGTTCAGCTCCTTTGGTTTCTGCCAACCAAATCACGTTCCCTTGGGTCTTTTGATTTTGTTTTCCAGAACGATGACAACTTCTTAAATATCATCTACGAAGCTTATCTCTTCAGCATGACACAAGCAGCCATGAAAAAGACGATGTAAAGCAAAACATTTTAAGACTGATTTTCAAGGTCCTATGGCTCAAGGTTCTTTCACGTCAATGGCGTTACTCTAAATGTTTCTGCCTTTTTTTAAAAAAAAAAGTATATATAATATGAAGTAAAATGTTTCAGAATTTTCTTCAGTCAAGATGGTTTTTTTTTAATCCTATCCTTTATTACACTTGGTACTAAGAATCCAGGGGATAGAAAAAGTCTTTTGCTCATATCACACAGTAAATCCCAAGCTTAAGTTATTTTTTCCTTGCATGTATGGGGTCACTTCTACAAGAATTAGCCTCTCAGTAGGAAGGGCTGTTCTGGAAACTTGGTTTCTTTTTTATTAATAACTCTGGTTATTCTTTGAGCGCGGGAGTGGTTTCCCTGTTGCTGAGCTCCTCGTGCCATAGTGCATGCCAGCCACCAGGTGGCAGTGTCACCCCACAGACTAACCTACCCAGCCCTGCCTGAGCCTTCAAGCCTTCCAGCCTTTGGAAGTCAAGGTTTTCTTTGACCAGACAAAGTAAACCTTTCATTTGTAAAAATCCAGTTGGCATGTTTTCCCTGGGCCTTTCAAGGGAAATTATTTCTAAAGGTATTTATAGCGAGTTTCTAGAGGATAGTTGTTCTAGGAGTCCACAGGTGGCCCAGATTTCCAGTAACACTTCATTTATCCCAGCTCCTGTTATTTCTTTTGGATCCGACCAGCAGAATACGCCTGCCTGTGCTTCCAAATGAACATTTTGTCATTTTCAGCCAAACATGCTGAGAGGAAGGTCACAGAAGATTTTAAAGCTTTTTCTTAGCCTCTGAAGAGAGGTAGTAGACTGTTTAGGGGCCTGATGGATAAGGACTCTTCAAGCTACATAGCAGATTGGTTTTTATGTTCCCAGAGATGAGGAGCTTAATCTTGGAGGGAGACAGAAGAGCCCTTGCCAAGTTGTTAAGGCCTCAAAGTGTCCATACGGGAATTACTCCCTGCTGAGTATTAGTAATAAATAAAGCTTTGCGTTTCTATAGCTCTTTTTATTCTTAGATCATAAAAAAATCTGTAGCTTACTGCACAGAAGACAGGTTTTATTCTCATTTTATAGGTCATCCAGGAGGCATGGGAAAAGTAGGTTTCCTCGCAGCTTCTGACTTGGGCTTTAAGATTTGGCCCTTCGTGCAGGCGTGCCATCAGCGGTGTTCCTCAGAATACCACCTCCCACACCTCCCTCAGGAGCGTGCTTTTTCTTCTAAGGAGAAAAGGTGGGCGGGAAAGGATTGGCCTCTTACTGACCCTTCGTGATGTGCCGTCCACTAGGCTGAGGAGTCTACTGTTAGACTCCTACGTTTAGGAAGGGACGATTTCTTTCATTTTTTTTTTTTTTTTTT